ATCCTGACAAAACAAGGGAAATGGGAAAAGATTCCTATTTAAATAAATGGTGCGTTGGAAAACTGGCTAACCATTATGTAGAAGCTGTGAAGACTTGGGATTCCCTTTCTTCACACCCTTATCACAAAAATTAATGTCGAAGATGAATAAGGGACTGTTAATGTTAGACCTAGAACCATAAAAACCCTAGAAGAAGAACCTTAGGCAATTACCATTTCAGGCATTGAGGATGCGGCAAGATTTCATGTCTTAAAACAGCCAAAGCAATGGCAACCAAAATCTCAAATTGACAAATGGGGATCTATAAACTAAAGAGCTTCTGCACGGGCAAAGAGAGACTTCCATGGCAGAGGTTGAACCAAGGCAACTACAGATGGGGAGAAAATTTGTTGGCATCTACCCTTACACATCTGCCAAAGGCTTATATCCAGACCTACAAAGGACTCAAACAATTTAAAACGAAAAAACAAAGCAACCCCATTAAAAAAAGGATATGGAACAGATCACTCTCAAAAGAGAATTTTATAGCAGGCAACATGACACTATGAAAAAATGGCTCATCAGTTCACTCGCCCATCAGAAAATATAAATCAAAACCACAAGCACTGGAGAGTACCATTCTCCACACAGTTAGAATGGCGGATCAGTAAAAAGTCCGAGGAAACAAGGGCTGGGCGCGGGTGGCTCAGCCTGTAATTCCCAGCACTTTGGGGGAGCCGAGACGGGGGATCATGAGGTTCAGGGGAGGATCGAGACCATCCTGGCTAACACGGTGAAAGACCCTGGTCTCTTATCTAAAAATACAAAAAACTGCCAGGCGGAGGTGGCACCTGTAGTCCCAGCTACTCGAGAGGCTGAGCAGGGAGGAACTGGCGTAAACCGGAGGGGAGGCTTGTAGTGGAGCCGAGATTCGGCCACTGCACTCCAGCCTGGCTGACAGAGGGCAAGACTCTGTCTAAAAAAAGAAAAAAAAAAAAAGTCAGGAAAAACAGGTGCTGGAGAGGATTGTGGGAAATAGGAAACTTTTTACACTTGTTGGTGGGACTGTAAATGTTCAAAACCATTGTGGAAGACAGGGTGGCGCATTCCTCCAAGGATCTAGAACTAGAAATTACCATTTGGACGCAGCCAATCCCTCAGCCGTGGGTGATATACCCAAAGGATTGTAAATTTCATTGCTGCTATAAGACACATGGCACCACATAGTTATCACGGGAAACTGATTTCAGAAAGCAAAGGAGCTGGGAAGCCCGACCAAATGTCCATCAATGATGACTGGAATAAGGAAAAGTTTGTGTTAATAGCACCAATGGGAAGTTACTGATGGCAAGCGCATAAAACGGATGAGGTTCGGGTGTGCTGTAGGCCGATGGGATGCAGCTGGAAAACATTCGATTTCTCGAGCCAATCAACTATCCACAAGGGAACAGAAAACCCATAATACTGCATGTTCTTCACTGCCACCAGAGGTGGGGAAGTGTGCACAATGAGGATCAGTTTGGAGACCCAGGAGAAGGGAGACAGTTCGGTACACCAGGGCTTGTCAGATTGGGAGTGGAGGAGTAGCATTAGGAGATATACCTAATGTAAAGATGAGTTAAGGGTGCAGCAGACACCAACATGGCCTGTTTTGGTTACTGTAGCCTTGTAGTATAGTTTGAAGTCAGGTAGCATGATGCCTCCAGCTTTGTTCTTTTGGCTTAGAATTGTCTTGGCAATGAGGGCTCTTTTTTGGTTCCATATGAAGTTTAAAGTAGTTTTTTCCAACTCTGTGAAAAAAAGTCATTGGTAGCTTGATGGCGATGGCATTGAATCTATAAATTACCTTAGACAGCATGGCCATTTTCACGATATTGATTCTTCCTATCCATGAGCATGGAATGTTCTGCCATTTGTTTCTTTCCTTAAAGAGGATCTCCAGTATTGAATAAGGTTGCAGGTCCCACAAAAACTGGATCTGGCCCGGTCTCTGGAACTGCTTTCTCAGCACTACTTTCAACATATCCCTGACCTTCATTCCTTTTACCCTGCCCTGGGGCCATAGGTAAAGCCTTTCTTGCATAGTTCACCAAAGCCTGGAGATTTCAACCACTATCAATGGCTATACATATTGTGTGCCCAGGGACACCCATGGTGCAATCACAATAGCTAATTTTCCCTGCAGTGCATGAATCTTATACTACTGAAAGCAAGATCTGGTCAGTTCTCAGTCCCTTCGATGTAATGAAATTGTGTGGGTGCAACTAGCCACGTCTTCTTGCATGAGCTCCTTGAAACACTGCCTTTTCTGGAGATGAAAATAGGAACCT